TGGAATTTCCATTGTGATCCTGTGGCTGTAGATAAAAGGCCTGTGAGAGGTATTACTCAAAGCCACCGAACATTCAACCTTATACTGCTGTAATTCATATCACTGCTAATGCCTGCACTACATTAGACGTGAAGCACAGCAATAAAAGACAACTGCTAAATTTAGTGTTTCTTTCAGCTTTTGTTTAAAAGGACTTACAAAGAACCATTTACAGAGTGATCATTTTATATTCAAATCCCATATGATTGTGACTTTCCAAACTTTGGTAACCAAACGAAGAGCTGTCGTACTCTTATACAGCAAGGCCTTTCAAGCGACCTCCCGCTCCCCCATAGATGTTTAATGGCACAGAGAAATAGGCACGCAGCCCTGGGCATGAATACCATACAGTGATATCCTGCACTGCAGCTGAAGCACCCGGCAGCCTCAGAAAAATAAACTCATCCAACCGTATCCATTTTCTTATCACCACCTTCCTGAGTGTAGAGTCATTCTCATCATTATACCCCCACATTCATGCTGTCTGTAGGGGATCCCTGCTGCTTCATTAAGGCCATACTGAGGCTCACAAACTCCTGATTGCATGAGCCATCAATAGCACTGATTATATGAGTTAATTAGGGTGCTTGGCATGAGAGAAAAGCTTATCTTTCATCATTGATATAAAAACAGTACAGTACTGATGCAACAGCAGTGATTCTGTCAGTGTTGCAGTATTGCATCACTATTGTTTTGAACAGAAAATGGCAATATCTTCGCTAGTGGTTAGCATAAAGCATATAGAGTAGTATTATCTGTTGCTGTAAGGGAAATTCAATTGGGCTTTCATGCCCGCTGACTCCTATTCATTTACACCATGGTGTGCTTTAATTCTCAGTGCTCATGCCCGTTAGCTCTATCTGTGTGCACAGACATGTCCTGACCCTCACATTCTGTGGCCAGCGTGTGTGAATGCGGGTGTGTGCGTCGCTGTATGCGCTACGACTCTGACATGTGCACAAAACCAATTAGTTATGGGATGGTGAAGTAGCCGGCCATGGGAAAATGACAATAGAGTAATTGAAGAGGCTGGCTGAATGAGAGGCCAGACAGTTCAATGTAGCTTTTACACGAGTGCTGAGTGTTTTCCCCACAGACAAAATGAACAGGGAGAAAAGCAAGTCCTGCATGAAGGTGGTCTTATGTAGTTGAAGACAGTAATTAACATTACAATCTGGTTAGTTTGTGCAATGGCATTTAAAGCTATTTAACAGTGGTTTTGCATGCTTTATTTAAATTAATACAATCAATTAATGTATATAATTAAATTTGCTTCATATCGCAGCTAACCATTTTGCAAACCATGCAGACTCAGCACTTAAAACGTGCTGAACTTGTGTGATCCATTACAGTGAACATCAAGTCAGCATTAATGTTGCTCTAAGTTACATTACTGTTGCATACTAATGCAGTTTATGCACAAATTGGTTTTGATTAAATGTTTACTGTAATAGATGACAAAAATCAAGCAACTTGTAAAGAGACTTTCACATCTTATGGAAATCGATGGCTACCTGACATGCTATGTAGCCAATGATATCAAACTCGGCATGCATTTCAAAAGTCTCTCGAAGTGATGAATCCACAGAGGATTATAACCTGACTTTATTGTTTTGTTTAGCCCTATGGATCATTTAAGCATCTTTCAGCTCAGTGTTTTGATTTTACAGCCCACAACTTTACGGCCCATCACTTTCACTGCTCTCAACAACAAATTCACTGCACGCTACCTGCTCAGCACCCAGTGGCAGACAGACACAGTTAGCGACTTGATGGTGAACTAGAGCGTTTAGTAGCTGCAGAGCCAGATATTTACCTTGGGAGTTGGTGGAGAACAAAACAGAGCTCAAAAGAGTGGAAATATTGGACTTACATTTATCTGGTGGTGATTCCAAATGAATGCTAATGTTGCTCTGTATCTGCTGGATGCTGAAATAAGCCACTGTTTGCTAACATATTCACTGTATCAACTTAACTTGTTTCCACTGCATCCGAGTGGACGAAAAATCTGTGTTGTGCATGTTTAAGTACTTAAAACTTGCCAAAACACCGGTCTGGTCCTTTAAGTACTCTGCCTCTCTGAGTTGTTAGTAACTATTGTATTGAGTTATCTAAGTGAGACAGTAGCTCAGTTTATCAGCCTCTTGGCCTCATCTATTTTGAAAAATAGCTAAAAATCCTCGCTGGAAGTGTCCTTACCAACCTGTCTTGTTGCTTTCTAAGAGACCATTTCCTGTTAGATTTTATCAGCCATCTGACAGCTTTTGGCACAGCACTCCAAACTGTTTTGTGTTTTTATCTGGGCCTCAGCGGTATGCGCTGAAGTGAGCTTTATTGACTTTGGCTTTTCCAGTTCTGTCAGCACAAGATGCACAGAAAGGTTCAACATTTGTGATGGATGTTTTCTTATTGGGAAGAATTGTATATTCAAATGAAAAATGGGCTTTGAACTGTAGTTTCTTCTTTAAGATGCAATGCTACTCTAGCTTAGCCTCAAGCTTTTGCCTCATGTCACATTGGTAAAGTGAAGGATTTAGAATTACTTAATTTGAATAGTGTAACAATTTTTAATAATTTTATGCTCACTGTTTCAGTCCTTGGTGGTTGGTTCCTTGTCTTAACAACCCCACTTGAGTTTCCACGGTTGTCGTGCTGTGAAAGGGACGTAAGGGGTTGGTCCCGTATCACTGCAGCTCACAGGGATAATTATAGGACACACACACACACACACACACACACACACACACACACACACACGAATGAATGCAGGCACACATATACAGTGTGCACATAAAGGCACACACATGCTGACTGGCTTGAGCTGAGCTGCTACACCTCATTAAATTGGGAAATGAATCCTGGATGAAGCCCTGGCTCCTTTCCAGATAAGAATCACCAGGCTTTTGGGGATACACCATAAAATATATAATTAACACATTTATTCTCTTCTGTGACAGGCTGTCTGCTTTTTTCACTTCACCTGTGATTGTGCACTGCCAAGTTCAGGCTGCATTTAATTATTTTATTTATTTATTCACAAATTATATTGATCTTAATAACTTTTTACACTAACTAAATTAAATTGGCACAGAGATCGTATTACAATGCAATACCTCACTAATCTCCATAAATGGATTTTGCATAAATTACTTCTGATCGTAAATTTCTAACACATAGTTGAAAATAAACATTGATGACAAAGGTCTGTTGCAGGCAGGGGTTCAGCACCCCTGCCTGCAACCTGCAAATGAGTTTGATGAAATTGCCTCCCCCCTGGATCTTTTTATGTCATATCCCAAGCCAGTGCTGCTTGATGGCGTTCATGGCAGTGTGATTGGCTGCCCTAGGCGAGTAATACTGGCCTTCCCTGGAGAGGTGTAGTGAAAGCTGGGGGCAGAAGACGTTAGCCTTGGTCTCTTCCCAAGCTACTAGACACCGACTCTGGGGCCGGTACTGAATCATGACTGTAGGGCAGCGCTAACAAATACATCAGTTCCCTATGGAGGACCAAGCCAGGGTCTGACTGCCTGGCTGTCTAGCCTCTGGTCTCAGACATTGGTTCTACCACCTCATCTGCACCTGACCCACACCCAAAGGCAGGAGAGCAGTACACGTATGCAGCTCCCCTTTTAATGGGCTCAATTTGATTCCTTCATACAGAAAAAGACATTAATATCCCAAATTTGATAGTTTGCTTTTATGATAACGCAGCAAATTAGTCTGCCTGAGCTCTAAATTAAGCTGTGACATTTTAATACTGTGCCAGCGGATGCCTTGGGTAAGACAGGCAGGAGAGCAAAGATAAAAACAGGTCAGGCTGCAGTTGTTAAAAGACAGAAAATGACTCCTCTGAAGTTCCGTTTCCCCATGCTTTTTACTCATCATTTGCACGCTGCGCTCACATTTATATGAAAATTATAAATTATACTGATTATGAATTAAATTGAGCAAAGTCATTTTGACTCTTTAGTTTTTATTATTCTCTGAAGCTTGGGTCACGCTGGTTTTGATGACCCTGCCGGTGATTATTTCAGTGTTTGTGTTTTGCTAAAATGTCTTTTTAGCTGTCTCAAAAATAATTGCTTCTGGTTGAAGGAAGGTGCGAAATGGCAACACCGAGCTGCTTGGCAACAAGAGAAGAATTTTGTTTAGCTCTCCAGTCTATTCACAGTCCATTCACCATCCAACACTAGTGTTGTGATGAAGGCATAATTCGATTTATTGTGTAACAAAAGAAAGTCCTGACTTAGTTAACAGTTAATCAATTACCATTTAGCCTTTCAATAGTTTGTTCAAACCTGTAAACAAGCCACCTTGCTTGAACCTGAATCCCCTGTTGAACTTGAACCATCTGTCCCCGTTGAACGGTGTCTACTAAGATGTTAGAGATCTAAGATTTGCCCAGACACACAGAAAGAAAAAATTGCTAAGTGTCTGAAATCTGACCTCATGTCAGATCAGTTTGCTGCTGGCTCAGTCAGTCAGTCATTCGGTCAGTCAGTCAATCGAACTGATAAAGCTGAGAGTGAAATGGAAAGTAAAGTGAGTGTCCCCTTCTCTTGTCCCCTGGCGTGTCATTTGTCGGCTGATGTGATCGATATGGCAGAGAAGTTTAATGGCATCATGGCCACGGCGGTGATTAGCCGAGCAAAATGAGCCCATGTAGGCTGCATCGGTCCGTACTGGAGTGCACTAGATCAAAAAGATAGCTTCCGGCAATACTGCACTGCATGGCAACAAACATCGATTTGTGGCCAGAGCTATATGTGTCTGTCTCTCTCCCATCCTCTCTCTGTTTCTCTCTCTCTCACCAGCTGATGAACACAAAATAGAACAAACTCATTATTATGATTTATAGCCGCAGTAACTGGATGTGCTATTCAACCCAGTAATCTCTGTTCCTGCTTCTATCCTCTTATCTCTGACGCTGTCTCTCCCTTTCTGTCTTTTCCTCTCTGTAGTTGTGAATGTGTACGTGTCCTCCGACAGTGTGACTGAGCAGAGAGGCGGGGCGTCACTGTATTTCGGGGCAGACCTTTGCGTCACACACCGATGATGGAGAGGAGGAGGATGGATGCAGCACTGTTGGTGCTGTTCCTGGGACACTTCGCCACCGCGCTGGAGGTCCCACTAGACCGTAAGGCAACAGATCACACACCACACAACACGTTCATATCCAAGAGTGTGTAACTGGACTAATGCCAGCTCTCAGTTTTGTCTGAGGCCGAAACAATTAGTCAGTTAATCGAGTAGCCGATTGAGAGAAAAGTAATTTATCAAGCAAAAGTGCCACTTCTCAAATGTGAGAATTAGCTTTTCTTTGTCGTATGACAATAAACTGGATCTATTTAGGATTTGGACTGTTTCTGGGACAAAACAAGCTATTTTAATATCTACTGTAACTTCGGACTCTGAGAAATCATAACAGGCACATTACACTATTTTCTGACATTTTATAGAAACTGCGTTTAAAGGAATAGTTCGACATTTTGGGAAATACCTGTATTTGCTTTCTCACATAACTCTGTGTAAAACCACAGCTTTGAGCTCATCAGTTTTTATTTGGAGTAAAAAATGAGATATAGGATCTTTGCAGTTGCTGGTAGGCAGCCAGCCTGGCTGTTTCTCCATAGCTACATATTTACCATACAAAGCCTGTCAATGAACCCTTAGCAAGAGAGTGAATAAGCATATTTCCCAAAATGTTGAACTGTTCCTTTAATCAGTTTATAGAGGAAATAATCTGATTCATTGGTAATGAAACTAATTGCAATCCTGTTTTGTGTGAGACTTTGGTTGATAAAGTTTTGGTTTTAAAGCCTTAACATTCACTTTATCCTTTGATTTCCCCTTCAATAGCTTTATGGTAGTTGATCGTTTGTCTAGAAAATTTGCAGAAGAACCCAAAGTTGTTTGGCTTACTGACATATATGACAAATAAAAGCACCAAAAGAAAATTAACAATTAACAATTATTTTATTATGAAAATGGGTCAAGTAAAAATGGGTAAAATAGATTAGTTTTCTGACGATCCACTAATCGATTAATTATTTCAGCTCTAATCTCATTTATCCTAACCATAGATCTATCTATTACTAGGATCAGATTCCTGTTTTCTAAACATCTGATATCTTCTTTTGGAGGAAGCTCTATATATTGTTTCCTTAGTTTGTAAAGCACTGTTGGACACAGTGTTCATTTTGACAGAAAACGAAAGAGTTTGTCGGACTGACCTGCAACACCACAGTCTGATGTCACTGTGGTGGTAGATCTTCTACATATTGTTTGGTTGGAGCTGTTGACAACTGGAGGCTGGGAACTGACTTTTGTTTAAATCATGTTTGAAGCAGAAATAATGCAGGAAGATATTTTTCAACACTAATGTCTGGTTCTCTTTACTGTCACGATTTGTCTTTCTTGTTTGCTGATTCTTGGGAAAAACACTAAAGTCCTGGAAGGATGTAAGTTTCAAACTAGTGTGAATTCACTGAAGAGGTTGTGCTAGCAGTTTTTTTGTTGTGCATTGAAGGTTATATTTGATCTTTTTAATTATATTTTCTTATTGTGTTTTGTACTTTATTATTTGTTATAAGACACTGGGTGTGGTTTGGAGTGGACATTAGTATGTTGCATGCATTGATCTCTTTGTTTCTTTGTTTGCTCTTTGTGTGTGTTGCTGCAGCATATAAAAATATTGCAAACAGCATGAGTTCTTATATCCTTTGTTTGGTCATAGTCCATTAGTTATCTCCCAAGCACTGACAGGAATACATTAAGCATCAGATCATTAAAGTAAAGTGAAATGTACCTGAGCATTCTGCATGCCCTTTTGTATTTGCACATGTTAGGAGAGCTTTTTGTGTCTGTCAGCACACAGCCGTCTGGTTTGATTCAGTGTGGTAAGTGTGCATGTGATTGGTAATGACTGCTTGTGTGGTCAATACAGTGCCAGAAAAAAAGGCTTAGTTATGCAGTAAAGGTCATGATTGAATATCACCCTCTATCTGATCGCCTGTAGTGCCGCAGCCGCCGACCATAACTCACCAATCCCCCAAGGATTACATCATCGACCCACGAGAGAACATTATAATCCACTGCGAGGCGAAGGGGAAGCCTCATCCCAGGTAGGAATCTGTGAAGTGTGATTTTGCATTCATAATGCTGTTACAAATTTTCATTTAAAACCCTCAGCTGACAGCAGTTCTCCAAATTCTGTTTAAAAGATGATGAGTAAAGTTCTGGTTTATTCAAACTTTATAATAAGTAAAGATGATATTAATTCCTGCACATGATGCCCTTCCCAGAGGCTGATTTTAGCTAATGCTTTGAATCTTTTACCATTATGCCATCCTCTTTCCTTATCTGTCAGTGCAACACCTAATTCAATTGCTGGCACGAATAATGCATGCACACACACATTTGTACTTGTATACCTGTGAGGACCATCACTGTTAACATTTTAACCTTAACTTTACTCTAACATAACCTTATATAACCCTCAGAAAAAAAGGATGTTTAGATATTTGGAAATTAAATTCAGTTTAAATCTTGAATTCAAGAATTTCTCTATAGCATTAGATCCATCCATCCATCCATCCATCCATCGTCAACCGTTTATCCTGTGTACAGGGTCGCGCGGGGCTGGAGCCTATCCCAGCTGACATTGGGCGAAAGGCGGGGTACACCCTGGACAGGTCGCCAGTCCATAAGAAATTAAACAAATCAAAGTTAGAATCACAGTTAAAGTAAAGGGAAAAACATCCTTAGGCATTATTTGTTTAATAGTAAAAAGAAAACTCAGCTAATCTGCTTCATTGGGACTGTGTGGGATCAGATTTGATTGGCATTGATCCAATTGTTTCTAAACTGATTGGTGCAAAGAAATATGTGATATCACCTTTCGGTAGCCAAACTCTGCCCACCTCAAACAGCTGAGAAGAGCAGTGAGAAAAACACAGATACAAACATTTCTCATGTGGAATAACCAAGACAGTTTGAACTTTGTCATAAAATGATGTGTTCATGTACGACCCCTTTACTTATTGTAAGAAGGTGATGGAGAGAAAAGGTAATTATATTTATTTTTTCCAGTTAAAATGTTACACAGATGTTTTTTGAGTGAAGATTGACCATAATGTCAAATGTTCTGACTCTCTGTGCTATTCTAACCAGTTAAGATGTGTCTAATCTTTTCTCAGTACCTCCTTAAGCCTAGCCCTGTATCATAATACAGTGTGGTGGCTGTACTCTTCACCAGATTAAAATAACCCAATTTGTCATCAGTGGATATTAGCTACACTGTTATGATACCGACCTGTTTTGTTACCCTCAGTTTCTCCTGGACGAGAAATGGGACCCACTTTGACATCGACCAGGATCCCAACGTGACCATGAGGCCCCACTCTGGGACCCTGGTGGTGGACATCAGCAGAGCGAAGGTTGAAAATTACGAGTGTGTGTACCAGTGCACAGCAAGGAACAAACACGGAACTGCTGTTTCAAACAACATAGTCGTACAACAGTCCAGTAAGTGCAGTGCAGTCTGTCATTTCTAGCATTTAATTGTTCTTGTCTTCCATTTTCTTAATGTCATGCATAGCTCACATGTTTCTCACATCATTCTTTTTTTTCCATTTCAAACAATTAAGTAGCATTTTCCATCTTAAGAACACTCCTGAAAGGTAAAGGTTGCACGTGGAAAGCGGCCTGTTTTACTTTGTAGGATGTTACAGTAGACAGAGAAAATATCCCTTTGTATCTCTCCTTTAGCTTATTGTTATTCAGTTAGGCATCATCCCTCTCATGTTCCCTCGTCACCTCTGTCATCATGCCTGCGACAGTCCATTAGCAACCTATATTTCATGTCAAATTATGGGACTCCTCATCCACTGATGTGTGTATCATTCTCCAACCGATCCAGGGTCCCCCTTGTGGTCAAAGGAGAAAATCAAGCCAATCGTTGTTAGGGAGGGCGTGTCCTTGGTGCTGCCATGTCGACCCCCTGCTGGCCTGCCTCCACCCATCATATTCTGGATGGACAATTGTAAGCACTTCAGTCATGGAAGATAATGTTTCAGCTGCATACATGAACACATTATAACACACTGTAGGCGACACTGTGGATTATATGTACTTGTGGCAAATGCATGTGTTCAACTGTTTGCGACCATTATATGTCCTTTTAATGGCAGAGAACTCGAGGTTTATGGGAAATGTGGTCTTAATGTTGAGAAATACAAGCACTTTGCCACTGCAATTCTTTAGATGCTACTAACAGTCTCACCTTGGTCCTGTATATTTAATGTAATTACACTAAGTATCACACTCAATTAGGTAATTATTACTTCATTCATGTGTTGATTTTCAAGGGTCAGTTCATCCCAATTTTCATTAATTTTCTCTCTTACCTATGGTAGTATATAGCTATGCAGACAATTTTGGTTTAGTTGACAGAAGAATCTTACCACAAGATCAAGTTTTAGTTTAATTAGTCAGGTTGTTAGATTTTGAAATATCTCTCTCTGAGATGTATGCGTCCACCCACAGCGATGGCATTTAATTTGTTGTTCTGAATTACGTTAGAAAAAAAACATCAAGCATCTCCTTCCAGAAACTGGCTCGCAGTTACTTTGGATAATCCACCGAACACACAATTGGGACTATTTCTTTGGTAGAAAGACGTTCCAATAAAAACTTAACTACACATATTTGAGTAATTTGAATGAATTTACTCTTTAAAAAAGGTCACACAAATATGTAATTTGCTTTACATTTCAGACTTCCAAAGGCTGCCTCAGAGCAGCAGGGTGTCCCAGTCCCTGAACGGAGACCTTTACTTTTCAAATGTGCTCCAAGAGGATTCCAGGAACGACTACATCTGCTACGCCCGCTTCCCATACACACAAACCATCCAGCAGAAACAACCCATCACCGTCAAGGTCCTCAGCAGTAAGTCTGAGAGCGCGCGTGTGTGTGTAATGTGTAATGAGCTAGCATGATTGAGACGACTAGAGTCTGAGTTTGTGTGTAATGTGTGTCCACATTATTCATTTGCATTAGTATGTTCCAGCATGACTGTGTAGGAGGGAAACAGCAGTTTCTATCTCTGATCCCATCCTGAGAGATGCCAGTGGTCGTCATCCCACTGAAAAGACATATTGTCAGAGCTGCAGCAGCAGATCTGCCAGGCAGACGTGCGTTTTATTACTTCTGTGAGACCTTCTGTATACGCACTCTCCACAAAGACTAGGCTCACTCAGTCTAGCATTTTGCAGTTGACATGTTGGCAGGCTGTTCGCACAAGAATTCCTATTACGATCATTCCTCATGTCTGACTTTTGAGTCATTGCAAGTTTTGTTTTGGCAGCTTTTAATTCTAAACACTCTCATGTTAAGTTGTGGGTTTTTTTTGTGCCTGATGATGTCAACTTGTGGCGTGTTTGATTTTTCTGTTGTGTTACAGTGGATGCAATCAATGACACAGTGGCAGCTTTTTACAATGACACAGATTTATTTAGTGGTGAGTTTTGGCACCCCCTAGTGTTTACCCCCTCAACTTAGAGCTCCGAACTCTAGCTTTTACCCACTATCACTAACCCTTCAACCCTAAAACCCAAGGCTTTTTACAATTTCTCCTGATGTCTTTAGGGGTGAGATCTGGCACCCCCTAGTGTTTACCCCCAAACTCTGTTACCCACTAACACTAACCCCTAAATCCAAGAGTACAAGTTAAATCTCTATCCCTCTGTCACTCCTACTTAATCCAATCAAAACCCTTTTGAAAACTATTAATTTCCTCCTGAATTGCTTGTACTAGCACTGCATGATTATTCCAGTATCAACTGAGGTGTGTAATTTGGACATGTAACAACATCTGTACAGTCTTGAGCTTTGCAAACAAAAGTACATTTTAATTAAAGAAATAAAGTAATTAGGTAATCATCTAAACATATTAAAAATGTAATCTGGTTGGTGATAAACAATTAATTTGATTCTAACACAACTCCTTCAAGTAGAAATGAAGTCTTCGTTTTCAAATTCACTCTTTCCCTGCTGCCCATAATCTCACCAATCATTTTCCTCTCACTTCATTTCTCATTGCTCAGAAGATCATTGGTCTGTCTCTTTGTCTGAGCAATACCACACATCGCTAACCTGAAACATGTGAGCAGTTTGATTTTCATCAAATTGCTCACATGCCATGGTGTTAACTTTTCATCAATACCGTCATTACAAACATATAGTCAGATTATTTTTATTATTACCGTAGTATGTCAGAGTATTTCTTTACTAGTTCAGTAGCAGAAAGCAGATCTTCATGTCTCTTAATTCTCAGTTCTATATTAGCTTCATTTTAGTCTTTATTATAACCCCAGAGGGCAATAAATTGGCAATAAACACCAACAGAAAGCAGTGCAATGAAACACAACATGGCTATAAAATTTACGTATAACCATAAAATGTAAGAATTGTGGCCTGTAATGAAGTGACTTAATGCCCATGCATTGCAGACCCATTGTAGAAGAGAGGTTTTATTATACCACAGCGAAGAAAGGATCGTGAATGTGAAAGGCTCGGTTCAGGGCTGGATCTTCACTCGGTGTGTTATGGACTTATGCAGAATAAATGGTAATAGTTTTCTTTGTGAATCTGTGTGTGTGTGTAACTATAGAAGACCCAGCAGATGAGAGAAAGCCAAACTTCCTTATCCCTTCTGGCCCCTCCAGCTCCAAGATAGTGTTGAGAGGACAGGTGCTGGAAATGGAGTGCATTGCCGAAGGATTGTAAGTAAAAAATAATCGGCCATTATTTCAATCTTTAAAGCCTCAAGTGCTCGCCTGGTCGTGTGTCATCATCACTCTTTGTCTTCCCCTCTCTCTCTCACTTTGACTCCAGGCCCACCCCTGAAATCTCCTGGACCAAAGTGAGCGGCGATCTCCCAGCCAAACGCACGTCTTTCCTGCACTACGACAGGACCCTGCGTATTGTGAACGTTTCAGAATCAGACGCAGGAGATTACCGCTGCACCGCCAGAAATATGCTCGGCTCGGTGCACCACACCATCCACGTCACGGTCAAAGGTCTGTCTGTGATGAAACGCACAGTATCCCATCAGGCCATTCGCTCACTATGTGGCGACACAGTCACTCCTTCTTTCTCTCTCCATTCTCCCTCCATCTCATAATTGATTCATGCACAGATGCCAACCGGGCAGTGTGTTCAGTGATTAATTCTCCACCCTTCTGCTGCGTTCTGTTCTATTTTCAGCTGCTCCATATTGGATCAGGGGCCCTCCCAGCAATCTTGTTCTAGCTCCAGGAGAGAACGGTTCGCTGACCTGCAGGGCCAGTGGCACGCCCAAGCCCTCCATCACCTGGGCAATGAATGGCATCCCCATAGAGAGTGAGTGCAACCTGTTTCCTTGACTTAAACTTACTGTGCTCAGAAAATAAATTTACCTGTCCTCATGGCCTTTTTCCATTTTTCATAAAAGCTGAACATTGATTAGTTTCATTATTTGAGACAGGATCTCTATGGGGTTGATGATTGATATTTATGATACCGATTCCTAGGGTAGGCAATTTATTTTAGAAGCTTTGTTTGTTTTTTTTTATCCGGTATATGTGACTCTAGCAGGACTGTAAATAGCATGGCCAATCATTTCATTAGGCCTAAATGAAATAATTAGCTGGCCTGCCTGCCTACCTGCACGCACTCTGCTCATACAGTCATATTCATGAAAATTTGTTTTGGGGGACTGGCTTTGGAGGGAGGCCTGAAGGGAGGGGGTGGGATTTTTCAGTTGGATGTTTTCAAAATCTAGCTGTCTCTTGCCTCAACATGTCGATTTTACACTGTCACTTTTGTAAACAAGCAAGATACAACAAGTTAAATTAGTCATTCATCCAGAATTCAAACAACCAGAGTTACATCTGTTCCCCCTGTCACCCATCAACAGATTCTCCCAAGGATCTGAGCAGAAAGGTGGAGGACGACACCATCATCTTCACTGATGTGCAGACTGGATCCAGCGCCGTCTACCAGTGCAATGTCTCCAATGACTACGGGTACCTCCTGTCCAACGCCTTCGTCAATGTGCTCTGTAAGTTCATCGATTTGTATTAGAAAGCTGTTTTCCTTCTACATTGATTTCTGGACTGCAATAACATGGCAATAATTGCTGCTTCCTCTGCAGCGGAGCCACCCAGAGTGCTGACACAAGCCAACAAAGTCTACCAGATCATCAGAAGTCACCAGGCCCTGTTGGACTGTGCTTCCTTTGGTTCACCCATCCCTAAAATTACATGGTGAGTTAATGAAGTTCTAACAGATGCAAGTGTTGCATTATATTTCTTCAAAAGCTCAAAGCGGCTGCCTTTCTGTCTCAGGTTCAAAGACAGCCGGTCCAGCACCCTGGATGGAGAGCCTTACATCCTTCATGACAATGGGACTTTAGAGATTCCCATAGCTCAAGCCCACAATAGTGGCAAATACACCTGCGTGGCCGGGAACACACTGGGCATCTATGAGAATCACGTCTACCTGGAGGTCAAAGGTGAGAGTGTTTCCACCCTGAAGATCCTATTATTAGAAGCCAGGGAGGGCATACAGCTAGCGAATAACTCACATAGTGCTATTACAGTCTGATGTTTGTGATAAAAGCTAGTAAATTTTGGCATTAAAGTATCCAATATTTCTGTTTACTGTTACCCAAAAAGTCCAGAGTAGACTTTATTTGCAATCAAAGGGTGACATATCTGCTGACACGCTTTGACACAAAGCCTTGGTCAGAGCATCCACAGAAATAAATGGCTCATTTTGTTATTTCATCAAATACTGGCATGTTTGAATGTTAGTCACAAAGTAAGTTGTTTTTACAACATTATTTTGGTGTATTTGGTGTATTATTTTTACGGTAATCAGCATTTTCAGTATTTCATGAAAATAATAATTGCAGCCTAATATTAACCTTTGAAGTCAAGCCCTATTCCAGACACATGGTTTTATAAAATATTTGTTCACACTGATGAGACTTATTGTTTTTTTGAGTCTTTAATTACTTTTCTAAAAAACCTTTCTTCTCCCCCGTCCATCAGAGCCCACCCGAATCCTGAAGCAGCCGGATCACAAAGTAGTCCTGAGGGGCAGGTCTGTGGTGTTTGAGTGTACGGTGAAACACGACCCCTCACTCATCCCCACCATGACCTGGCTCAAAGACGATGGAGAGCTGCCTGATGATGAGAGGTCAGAGCTGTCTGCAGATGTCTAACCTGTGTTTACTCTCTCTCTGCAGTAGTTGTAATAGTTCTAGCCAGTATCAAATTAGCAATCTTACCTTTAATGAAATTGTACTGTTACGCATAGTGGTGCATGTTTGTGTCTGTTTCTTTACTAATATGGCATTCTTGTCCTGGCTTGAATGCTTATTCTTAGCTTGACTGGGGGGAAAAAAAGTGAAATATCTCTTTGTATGAATGTTTACAGATTAATCGTAGACTCAGACAGCCTCACCATCACTGATGTGACAGAGAACGATGCGGGGGAGTACACCTGCATCATGAACACCACACTGGACCATGATTCAGCCCGCGCTGTGCTCACTGTTGTTGGTATGTTCAGCTTTGCAGAAGCTCAATTTCACTGACTCACAAAACAAACTCACAAATTATTAAAGTGTTACCTCTCTCCGTCTCTGGGCTTCCCAGAGAAGTGAATCTGTCCAGTAACTTACACAACAGATTGCCTTTCAGCTTTTCAAGGTTAATTGCCTGAGAGTTTACTTAAGAGGGTCAGAGCGGATTTAGTCAGCTATCGTGTCAGCAGCATGAATATTTGATTGTTGCCTTCTTAGCGAGCCAGATAATCTTCTCTGTTGTCTTATGGCTGACTGACCACTAAACTCCCTATTTCACTCCTGCCCTCCCACCTGGTAGAGGCCATGCCAACACCTGCTGTTGTCTACGGTAAACTTGCAGCACACGTGGGCACCCAGATGTGCTCTGCTGACATGAGCTTGTTTGTTGTGACAATCAGAGCATTTTCAATTTATTCTTGTCATTTTGATTTACCAGCATTTATTTGTTGTGTTTGCAAGGTGTTTTTTTCATGTGCATTTCTTCTAAATAAATTGTATATTTTTCCATTTTGGCAAAACTCCATAAAGACTGAATTAAACCACCGATGCAAACGTTAAACTTTTAGTAGAAGGGGGAAGCAATTTCCACTCACACTTGAATGCAAAGATCATTTGTAAAGCACACATCTTTTCAAATGCACCATTTCCTCATCACTCATTTATTCCAAGCATGCATTCCACTTTATCTTTACAATTCCAAAACATGAGCTTCAATTTAACCTCTCCATTGAGCTCCAGACTTTTATTTCATGCAGAGTTGTTAAGGAAGATGCTCAGCTGAGCATCAGTCGTTTCATATGCATGATGCAGTGTCTGCATGTGTATTGTAGGGCAAGTAACATCATCAAAAGGGACATGTAAAGAAATGGAGGAGTTACTAAGGTGTGCTTGGTTAACCCAACATAATGTATGTAAGCAGATATCCTCTTTTGTTTTTGCTTCATCTTCTCGTGGCATGAACCCTTTATATTCTGTAACGGTAACTGTGTGTTGATGCTGCTGCCTGTGCTGTATCTCTGCCAGAGCGACCCGACCCCCCAACTGACCTAGAGCTGACTGACCACAAAAAGAGGAGTGTTCAGCTCACTTGGACCCCAGGGGATGAACACAACAGTCCTATTCAGAGTATGTCTTAAGTGTGTGTGTGTGTGTGTGTGTGTGTGTGTGTGTGTGCGCGCTTGTGTGTATGAGGGCATATGTATCTGTGTCAGTTTGGTTTTCTTTCTGTTTGTGATTTATGTGTTCATGCACCTTACACAAGCTGTTTGTGCTATTACGATAAGTGAAGCCGACACACGTTTTATTATATCTTCTAATGGAAAGCCTGCATTAAAAACTTGAGGTGTGTCATTTGGAAAAAGTGGGCATTTAAGAGGCAGGGTGGGTCTTAGTTAAATATGCTTTTAAGCTGCATAATAGGGACTAGAAGTCGGGATATCTTGGCCTTTGCTGTTTTGATTTTGACATTTAATAAGAAATCTGTTTCTAATGATTCTCCCAACATTATGGACGTGCAAAACTTAATTGCTGAAGTATTATGTTTTTGGCGTTTAGCTGGCTCTCCCTAGCAGCAATTCCAGATAAGTGACACAACACTTAAGTTTCCATAATTATCAGTCAACCAAAATAATAAAGTCTGCAAGGTCAGTGGAGAAAAAAACAGAGTTAAAAATCTGTCTTTTGTAGTTTCTTAGTTTGTAGTTTCTTCAATGACAGACGACAGCTACTGAGGTCAGCTGGAAATTATTGGTTACAGTAGTGTCCAATAGTGACATGTTTTAACAGCGTGAAAAAAAAACACCCATAGAAATGTCCTAAACCAATTCTGCAGCATAATCTTCTTCTCCAGTCTATTAGTATGCTGCAAACACATAATTTTGTGAAACATAGTTAAATCCACCATTGCCTTGAAGCTTCAAAGCACTGACGAAGTAGCATATTTATATACATTTTAACAAAACTTTTTTAAAAAACTAAAAAACAACCTTGAGGGCATTCATTCCAGTTATGCAAATCAACTGTCAGGCAGTGTATAAAGTGTTTTGTTATGTACAATACTTTTCTTTTTTCTATCTAAACAGAATTTCTGATCCAGTATGAAGACTCACTGCACCACCGAGGTCACTGGCACAATCTTACCGAGGTCCCTGGAACCAAGACGACAGCTCACCTCAAACTGTCACCCTACGTCCACTACACCTTCAGAGTTCTGGCCCTCAATGCCGTCAATTTCAGCCGCCCCAGCTTCCCCTCCAGGGTGTTCAAAACAGAACCTGCAGGTACAGACTTAGCAGCCTCAGCTCTTTGATTTATGTGTGTAAATGTGTATTCACATTTTAATAATAGATATATAATCAACAAATAAGCTGATATGTTCTAAATACAATTTTTTATAACTGTGAACATTTTAAAGTAAGATAGTTTATGCATCAGCTTTTGTTTAATGGGTCATTTCGGAAACAAATCAGCATGTTAATCAGTGAAAGGTTTTCCTTGGGATGATGTTTCATTTTGTCTTTATTGTTATATTTTTAGCTCCAGACGAGAACCCAACAGGTGTCCAGGGATTTGGAACAGAACATGATAATCTTGTAATCTCATGGAAGGTAATAAAGTTGTATAAGGCTATCTTTTCTAATACTGAAGCATTTACTGTTGTCCATGGAGTACCATGAAACATAAGAGTGTCCTTGCACTGTGAAGCATGGTTTTGTTATTGTCCCATCTGATGAGGTTTCCTTTGTTCTTACTTTTCTCTCTTTACTATCATCCATCAAAACCATATTCTTCATAGTGTACATTCAGTGTTTTTCTGAAAAAGGTGAAGTAATAAAAATCATGTTAACATTGAACATTTTCTCCTCTGCAGCCACTGTCAGGCCTCCAGTCTAATGGTCCCGGGCTTCACTATAAAGTGATGTGGAGGCAGAAGACGGCAAACAGTGAATGGAACACAGTGACCGTGGCTAACAACTCTAAGTTTGTTGTGTCTGGAACGCCCACATTTGTTCCTTATGAGCTAAAAGTTCAGGCTGTGAACGACTACGGAGAAGGACCTGAGCCTCCTATTGCCCACGGCCACTCAGGAGAGGACTGTGAGTTAGACTGAGTCTTATAGACCCTTAAAAAATGTTCTGTTAGATCTAGGACGATGCATTCGGCTGTGTAACCCATAACCTTTTATGTGCATAAAATGCACAAACATAAAATGTATTAAAAAATCAGCATGTTTCCTTGAGTTTAGCTGTTGTTGTTGCTGTTTATTGTACAGTGCCAGTAGCAGCTCCAGAGAATGTGCAGGCCATGGTGCTGAACAGCACTCTGGCAGAGGTACACTGGGATCCTGTGCCCTCTAAATTAATACGAGGGCATCTTAAAGGATTTAAGGTACAGTACAAAAGTCCACACAGTGTAACATGTACACCAATCTCATAAAGCACAATACACCCTTAACACTTACGGTATACAAACTGTGTCTTGTAGGTATACTACTGGAGAGAGCACAGCCTCCACAACCACAACCCTCATCATGTGGAGAATAAGATCCTGACCTTCAGTGGGAACCACAGCCACGGCATGCTGCCTGGTCTGCACCCCTTCAGTCTCTACTCTTTCAATGTCAGGGTTTTTAACGGCAAAGGAGAGGGTCCCCACAGCCCCACCCAGCAGTTTGAGACACCAGAAGGAGGTAGGAGAAGGAAAAACTCTTGCTTTATTTTTTTGTCTGTTGTATTATATCACAAATGAGAACAATACTTTATTTGTGCTGTAATTAAGTAAAGGTGCTAATTGGAACAGGCCACTGGCCTAGATGTCATATTATGAATGGTTGAAAAATACAGAATGCCAATTTTCCATGTATACCTGAAATCTGTTGGTGATGTAAAGAAAAAACAAAAATGAATATACTGATATATTCAGAAAGCTGACACTTTAGCCTTGTCTTCTCATATTGAAAAACTTGATAGTGAAAAATAAATATGCTTATATAATAGCTGATGTTGGAAAGTGGACAAGTAAATTCAGTTTTAAACTCCAGCTGATGTTCAGTTATTAATACAATAAAGGTGCTGTTGTTTGATATATATATTTGTTAGTGCTGGCTATAATCCAAATTGGGGGATTCAGGGATAAAAGTTACCTTGAACCCTTCAGACATGTTTGAACACATATACAAATACTCTGCTAGGATTATTAATTTGTGTTTTTCCACACAAAAAAATCAACAACATAATAGATAAATATTAAATGCACATCTTTTTCAAGTAGCTTCAGATTTTAAGTAGCCTCATCACACTTGTGTAAGTAAAAAAGGTTTGAACTCTGGACATACATCATTCTGCAAACGTTTCATGATTTATGTGTTTTCTGCAGTGCCGGGGGCTCCTACTTCCCTGCAAGTCACCAACTTCAACCTGGACTCCCTAACCCTTGAATGGAGTCCTCCTCATGTCCGCAATGGACGCATCACTGGCTACACCCTCAAATATCAGCCAGGTGAGGCTTTTTTAAGACCACAACTGAGCTTTTGTATCTTTACTTAATTAATGTCACCTTCCTTCATGTAGTTTGTAGTTTTGTATGTCCTCCTTTTTCATGTCTGTACTGTCACCCTGTTCAGACTCAGATTATTTAAACAGAAATAAATAAAAATAAAGATTTGACATAACCTTAGAGCATTTCAAACAAGTTATTTTGTAAAATAAATAAAATTACAGCACAAATTAACAAATCAACTTTTGTCACTCTCGCCTTCTATTCCTGAACCCTACACCTCTGTGCTCCAAATGCTTTCATTTCCACCCTTCTCATCATTGACACTCCAACCCCATCTACGACCCCCCCCCCCCCCCCCCCCCCCGCTTCATACCTCTATTCAACTTACCTCACGACTTCCCAATTTCCATCTCATTATTCTTGTCACCCATCCTCCACCCCTGTAGTCAATAACTCCTATGAGCTGGGCCCAGTGGAGGAGCTGGCCCTGGCCGCCAATGAGACCTCAGTCACTTTGTCCAACCTCAAGTACAGCACACGCTACAAGTTTTATTTGAATGCGAAAACAGTCAGGGGAGCAGGCCCAGCCATTTCTCAGGAAGCTGTCACCATCATGGACGAAGGTAAGTCAGCAAATGCAGACAACTAAATAGTGTGCATGTTTCTTCAACTAGAAAGTGAGACAAATATTTAAGGTGATTAATATGAATTATTTCCATAACTCAGAAGTGGATTCACATATGCCATTAATCAACAGGTCATATGTACAGTATGAAGTCATGCTAAATAAAAACCACAGTAAACCACACTCAGTACACAAAACGTATTTGACTATTTTGACTATTTTGACGTTTGTTTTTAGGGCTATTTAGGTTTCCCTTCTAATAAATGTAGCATTTTGTAGTTGTTGATGGTAATATGTTTTTGTAATCTTTAGGTTTTTTTTATCTATAAGTGACAGTACATTGATGGCCTGTATGAGGAAACCAGAATTAACCCCAGACGCTATCCTGATGAAGGCAAGATAGCCAATAATATAAGAATAAAGCAAGTGTGTCCATTGTCGATGGACTCACTCACAGTTACGCTCACACGGGTTTCCCCCTGCTGTGTATGCCTTCTCAAAGTTGAAAAACGTTCCTCCAAACACTGAAATGTTGTTTATTGTGAAGCATGGCATTCTGTTTATGTGTTTTCTGTAAAGTAGTGCAGAAACTAACTAGACAAAACAAGCAATTTGAAGATGTCACCTTGAATTGTGTGAAATTATGAAGCACATTTTTCACTATTTTCTGACACTTATACACTTAATGATTAATCAATTGTCTGTCAAAGTGTTCAGGAAATAAATCAATAATAAAAATAATTGTTTGCTACAGCCTAACTGTCAGTCAAAAGTCAGAACTTTGTCATGTGTTTTGTGTATGTGAGATGTTCCTCATCGTGTCTACATTATTACAGTATAATGCACACTATCTCATAGCATTATCTTTTATTTTTAGTATTTTACATAGCATGAGTACATAAGCTTTTCATCCAAGTCCGAGTTTAGTGGAACACGAGTGTGATACAGTTGCATTGTTACACAAGGTGTAACGTGACACAGCATGACCACATGAATGTCTTACTGTTACACAGATAGGGGGTGTCAGGGTCATCTCATAGTGACCCCTGTGCTCTTGTTTTTCTGTGTCCCATTTCTCTCTACAAGCTCTAATATCACAGCTTGACGGAGATGTGGGCACAGGTACCAGTGTCAGGACTGATTGATGATGATAGAACTGGTTTATAGATACAGCCAGTGGCTTCAAAACCCAATGCAAGCATGCAGTCCTCATCTTTTAGCAATTTCCTTGCGTCTGTATTTAATTCTGCGGCCCACCAGAATGCTCCGCTGAGTTCAAAGCTGGAGAAAGTTCAAAGCCACATAGATAAAGATGCTATGTGACGTGAGCCTTTTTAATGTCATGTGATAAAACTAGATGAGTCTTTCAAAGTGCTCAGCTGCTTATTTATATATTTTGACTGTGCCTTTGGCAACTGACCTCTTCTCACTTCTTCCATGGTGGCTGCTGGTGATGCTTTGCGCTGCATGGCAAGACTTTGCTTGGCATGCCAATGAACTGGGTGCACTGTGTATTATGACTTTGATGTCTGTGGTGTCTCTGCCTGTGGAAAGTGTTTGCGTCTCTTCTCTGTATGTGGTGCGGTGTTTACCTCTCTCCATGTTGTTTACAGGAAACACCCAAACCTCTCATCCCATTGCATGGTCTCCTCCACACCGTCCGCCCCACAAGGGTACAGATACTGCTGTGACCTTAGTACACAACAAATTGATTTGTTATATGATCAGCTTTGTGTATTCTTTTGAGTGTTGAAATTGCTATTGTGTAAGGCTATGAGGGTCTACATTCAGTGATGCTAAGAGCTTTTTATGGAACTATAATTAAATCAAAGCAATTAATTGTCAGTTATTGGATTGTCTTTTTATAAACAGACCAGTCTTGATGGTTGTCTTTTCTCTTGTGTGCTCAGTGCGGCCTGTGAGTCCTTTTGGGAATGTTAGCTCCTCGGTTGGAGAGGACGGGGCCCTGATCAGTTGGGAGTACTGGGGCCCGGAGAAAAACGTTTATGTAGAATACATAGTAGAAAAAAGTAAGCAAAACAACACATTATTATTATTTCTGTCAGTTCCACACATAGATGGCAAGAGTCTCCTTCATTATTGACTTGTGTAGGTGAATAAAAATATTGGCAGTCACGTTGATGCTGGCTCCTACCAACGTGGACCCAGATGTGATAAACAAGGCTGTCTGTGATTGGATTGCTAATTACCCAGTCCTGTTATTGACTGTAGTTGCGTGCATTTCCTGTGACAGTCCCGCTAGAACTTAGGTATACAAACATCATAAAAAGCAGCACAAACATTCTTGTTATGCCAATTGATTTCGACTGAAGTGCTCTCCATTATTTTTATCCACCTGCAGCGAGGATGAAAAAGACTGTGTTTTTGTAGTATGGCTCTTTCACACCTACTGTTTAATTTATCCAATTAGGCAATATCTTAATCATGGATCCAAGTAATTTAGGAAATGTTATCAAAAACGTAATCTTGTGATCATCAGTTAAAAAATCCCATTTCATATTTAGCTCATCACCACATGCATAATTTATGATGGCCCAGAGAGATCAACGCACTGCAACTTAAAAAAACACATGCATATAGACTAAACAAAAGCAAATGAAAAAAGCTATTTGACAACACCTGCAGAATTTAGAAAAACAAAAAACAAGACTAAGAGTTTATAGCCATGCTAGCGGTCAGAAAATTTTTAATTTTGACCAGATGGTGGTGCTAGTCAGTAGGATTCATCATCTGGGCACCTTGAATGTGTGTACAAAAAAACATTCAGGACAATAGATAGATATAGATTGTAGATATTTCCGTCTGGGTCTGGACTCAATGGCAGACTGACCGACTAACAGATTACTGCAAACGCTAAATACAACTAAAAACAAACAGTCACATCCAGAAACACTGCAAGTCTCACAGAACACATCAGAAATGAGTTACAAAACAGGTTTCCTGGGAACAATATATATAATGCGTTCATCACTTTTTATTATCCCCTGGAAACATATGTTGTCTTGGAGCTCATTTTCGTTGTGCAACTTGCAGCATTTCTATATGTGGTTGTTTTCTCATATTGCAGCATTCTTCATTTTTCTTAATGCTACACATGTGCTGTCAATTTGGTGAAATTCTTCTCTTCATCTTCTTGCAGTGTATTGAGCTTTCCAGACCACTGTAATAATTCATTCATAGACTACAGTGGGTTTTTTTTAGAACTCCATAATCCCATAAAAAAACAGCATTGCCCATCCCATGTCAGTAGATGTTTTTTTTTTTTCAGTAATTAGTTCCCATCTAGTCACAATCCTCTTGACCCGTTTGAAGTTGTGTTCGCTCCCTCAAACGTCCCTCTCTTCACAAACGTCCCTCCTGCAGGTGAAGGTGAAGAGGAGTGGCAGAAAGAGCTTGTGAACGGCTCTCAGAACATTATGCTGAAGGGCTTAAAGGGGGGCCTCTCCTATAGGGTGCGTTTGGTGGCCAAAGGTCACCACGACCAGCCGCTCCACCGCTCTGAGGAGCTGTTGGTCACGGTCCCAGGTGAGGCAGTTCCTAGGCGGTCACTTTCACCATGGTCCGGCCTAGCCTGGCCCTGTGTTGTGTATGGAATGTATAGTAGTTTGTGCCGTTGTGTTTTTATAATCCAGTCAAGCATGGGTTCAACAGATGTGTTGTGGTCGCTCTGTATGCCAGGCATGTACTGTAGTGATATAGAGACAGTGTGCATGATGTTGTGGTTGAAATTTGGTCAGTCCTGTAGATGTGGTAATTAGATGAAGTGGATATCATTCCCATATAAAAGTTTAATACATGTTTAGTGGTATAATATCCAACCTAATATCACCTAGTAAACCTGCGTGTACAGTATGTTTATTTGTGTGTAATCTGTGTGTGTCTGCGTGTATCTATGACTTGTCTGTGTGCACTTGTGAGAGAAAGACTGATTTCCTAAACTGTGTACTAATGTGGTTTCAACAGTCCGTTCAAGTCACCATTAGCCTAATGTAGGAGATTTCTAACTCGTCTAACATGAAAGTCTTTTTCAGTAACAGTAAGCAATCGTGATCAACTCATGAACTGAAATATCTAACAAGTAGATACTAAGAGAATGACTTGTTAAACGTGTTATATGTTTGTTTTAGCACATAATTACGAATATTTGTTTCTACTTTCCCTTCCCACTGGGAAAAGATCATCCAGTCATAAAAGTTAAGTCTTCCTCTCCTCCTCTGGACAGCTGTGGCGAGCAGACAGGTGGACATCGCCACTCAGGGATGGTTTATTGGCCTCATGTGTGCCATTGCTCTGCTCATCTTGATCCTCCTTATTATCTGCTTCATCCAGAGGAATAAGGGAGGGAAATACCCCGGTGAGTAGTAGCACATACACCACCTTGGACAAACTCATATATAAACCCGCATTTCAATGCTCTATTTGCCAACATTCAAATATGTTTCATATTTAAGATGGGATCTGAACATGGTTCAGGAATATTCGTTTGTTTTTGCACTGAAAGCAAATTAATCAGACGAAGATTCAAGCAGTGTATAGCTGCCACAATGACGAAAAGAATTGCTCGGTATATCATAACAAGAACAGCAAATTGTTCATTTTATACTGACACATATTTCTCATTAATACATGCTTATTTTGTTTTAACAAGACACTTGTTAAAACAAAATAACAACATAATCTTGTTATATTCTGAGACTTTCTTGTCAGTATATCTTGGGTGCATACAAAAAATGCTTGACATGTCTAATTAAAACAATAAACATTTCTCTTTAAAAGAATGAATCTATTATGAAATAAACAGAGAAGATTTCACTGAGATATGTTTGATTATTATGTATGTAGTAATAACAAAAAAAGTTATAACAAGAAAAATATATTTTTATGTGTGATAATAATTTTTTCTTATGGTAGCAGCAATAAGCTGTTGTAGCTTTTAGTCACTGTGAATAATGAGCTACTATGAACATGTGGAAAATAAAAACAACTTTAAACACTCTTCCATACTATATGCAATATTATACATACACCCTTGCGATTGTCGCTGTACTTTATAAGCTGGTTTGTCTAAAATGCTTCCTCTTTTCACACTAGTCAAAGAGAAGGAGGACGCACACACAGACCCAGAGTTTCAGCCCATGAAAGACGATGACTGTACCTTTGGGGAATACAGGTGAGAGAAAGTGCTCCGGTCTCTGGAGCCCCCAGAGTCTATTTTACCCATCAACCCCTGCCCCATCCCTGCTTTCCGCCCAGATCTGCTCTCTCTGGCTGGAGCTCTGCACTCCTCCCTCTTCTCAACCCTTACAGCTGACCAATAACTGACCCAGGATCACCAATAACAGAAATTGAAAACAAGAAGAAGAAGTGCCCCTCATCTGAACTTCTACCGCCGTGAAGCACAATATATATTTTTTTCTGGGTTCTGGGATGTCCTGGATGCTACTTGCTATCTGACTCTGTTGTGTGCGTATGACATTGTGGTGTCATTTGAGAAGCAGGGTTCTTCAGATTCAAGGGATTTAGGGTTTTGGGTGTTTTAAAACTTTAAATAAGACTGTCAGGAAAAAATATATAAGCTAGATTCATTTGCAAAACATCCTAAATCTAATCCCATTCCAACTAATAAGCTACTCATATACATCCTGTGTACAGTATATATAGTATTAACACTTTGCCTAGTGTATTGCTACTTACATACACAACCCTGATAGGATTGAAAATCAATGTAATGAGCATTCCTGCTAATTTACAGCAGTTATCCAGCAATGCTTGTTAGCATCCCCTTTCTAGGCTGCTTCTTCAATCGCACGCAGAATAAAGAAAAACAAAGCACTTTACTTCTGTATAGCTAGCCTTTTTGAATTGTTTTTTATAAGTCAATTTATAAGATGGTCTTGCTTTTATATTTTATATTCCTTTTTGTATTATATTATGTATACATAAATCTGTTCTATGGATTTTATGCTGTGATAAATACATATCGATATACAGTATATATATAATATGTGATATGCATGGTGTGAAGATCTCATATATGAAAAGTTGCTCCAGGCAATAATGTGATGAATGAAATTATTGTTCATATATAGATATACAGTATATAGATGCATATGGATCTTATATGAAATTATCAGCATGTTCGAGGGAAGCATCACTGAGTGTACAAGAGCTGGTTAATGCTGTTTATAAAAGACCAATAGCCATTCTTTAATAGTTATAATTTATAAAGGATAAGGCTGGTGATATTCTACATTTTTATTATTGTCGAGAAATTCTTTAAATAGACCAAAACCAGCAATGTGTTACTCTGTCCCTCAATACTTGCCGGCTTCTCCAATTCTGACCATGTTCATTGTAGTGAAGGAAACGTCTTCCTCTGCGATGTGGCTCATTCATTTGTTTTTAATTTTGGACAATAATGGACACTTTTGTACAATTTTGTACATGTTCATGGCATTTGTTGACAACAAGAAAAATGTAGAATATCATGAGAGACCTATTTACACTGAAAAGGAATTTCTCCAGTGGACAATGACTCAAAGACTACAGTAAATAATTAATCACAAGGCAAAGTGTACAAACATTATAGTGCCTTTGTGAGAGTATACTTAATATCCATGCTGTTTCATTCAAGTTCAGCTGGAATCTTACAGTATGTCAATAAAGGCATAACTTAACTCAACTCAGCTGTTCTTGTTTAACTGCAGGAGGGCATACTGTAAGTTCAGACTATACATGCACATGGCATATGTGCCTGTTAAAGTGCCACATGAGACGTGTGTCAAGTGCGTGCATAGTGTAATCATTCCTAGGAGTGGCTGTTGTGTTGTGTGGGATCTCAGGTGGATCTCATCATCTGATCGCAGGAGTGTAGGTCTCAGGAAAGGTAAGGGTGATGATGGTGTGTGGGGGTGGGAGTTGAGAGTCATTGTTCTGTAAATCTAGCATGTGAGGAGGGTGAGTGTATAGTCGAGTCACCGTGGAGAAAAATGCTCGCTGGCCCAGGTTCTTTTCACGGCTGTCATCAAGTTTAACATTTGGTCATAAAGCCTTCATCATGTCCAGTCCATAGACAAGTCGTTTAAGGCATTCATCTGTAGCTTTAGTGTGGTACTTTTATCCATGAAAATGCTTTTGCTTACTTATTATCTATCCTGTTTAAATTCTAAAAACATTTCAGCATTATGAGGGCTTTGTGATCTTTATATCATTAATGTTCAACTCATGTATGTGGAATGTTTTCGCTTATCGGATATCCAAAGAAAACTTTCTTTGCCGATTTTTCATGCATTTTGCAAACTTGTGATTATCACCATGCTTGCTTTGGGGGGGATGTTTGGCTGAAACCTTGCTTTCCAAGTTTTTTTCACATCATTGCGTTGGATTTTCTGTTTTTCATCACAACTTCTGTCTTGGGTGGGGAGGTGAGGGGGTGCATTTGTCAAACAACACATTTACCACTTCATATTTGGTTTCAGGGGGAATTTGAACAGAGTCTAATTGCTTGAGCTTTATTCCCCTGTTGCCTGATGGAAACCAACTAATCATTCATAGCTACCGTTTTTTAGACATGGAGCAAGCCAAATTCAAATTTGCTTCTTGTGCAGTGGGCAGGAATGTTCACTATTAAAGTGCATTATTAAAATGAACATTCCTGTAAAGACTTTTTTAAATCTGGAAACCATTACCAATTAAACTTACAGTACATTGTGGTAAAAGTGACTATCTGCAGTTCAGGGCTCCATCTAAAAAAGTCATCGCTAATGTCCTTGTTGCATCTGTCACATCATCTCACCTGTAACACCTGCATGTTATTTTCTCCTTCAGTGACAATGAGGACCATAAACCATTAAAAGGGAGCCGCACGCCGTCTAATGGGACAGTTAAGAGAGGCGACAGTGACGACAGTTTAGTTGACTACGGGGAAGGAGGAGACGGACAGTTCAACGAGGATGGCTCGTTTATCGGCCAGTATAGTGGAAAGAGTGTCAGCAGGGACACTGCTGAGGGCCATGAGAGCTCGGAGGCCCCATCCCCTATTAATGCCATGAACTCCTTGAACTCATTTGTGTAGCCATTCAGTCCTCACTGAACAGTGTGAGATGCTGCTCAATTCCCCACATCTCTTTTAGAGGGCTGTTCCAACATCGCATGGCTTTATGATCACATCCCCATCCCCAGTGGCACACATGAAATACAGACATCTCAAAGACATTTTTGTTTTCACTTGGAAATCTTTATGGAGAGGCTTGGAAACCTGTGGTTCATTGTATCTTAAGCAGCATTTAGGGAGAAAGTAGCTCAACCAGATATTTGATTTTAACAATGCATGAAATACCTGATATGACCTAAATCCATATATTAATTAACACTTTGATATTAACAAGTGTTGCATTCTTACCACGGATCTCTTATAGACTATGCAGTGCTCGTCTAAACTATTTGTTTTTGTCATTGGTTATCATACTATCATACTATGTTCATATAGCAATCAGTGTCTACAGTAAATTACTATTACTCCATGTATTTTTTTCCAACTCAGAAACTTGTACAGTAATCTGTATTTAAGAAATGTAATTTCCTCTTGTAATTCCATCATGCATTTATAGTGCACAAGGCAGATCATGTACAGTGTGTATATATATAAAGTGAATTTTCCGTAATCTGAATTTTAGGAGCAGCGCACGCAGCATGCTTGAGATTGCTGCATTGATACATCCTCATCTGTCACCACACTTTTGAATGATCCAACTGAACCTATTAAGGAGGAAGCTGCAATGCTGCATGGCTTGCGATATGACCTCATAACCTCTGCCCTGCATGTAACCCCCCTCTTACTGAGCTTGATCTGAAGGCCAGTGGGAAATACTGAGGGTATAACAGCTCGCCTCAGTCCCTGCAGTGGTCCTTCAGCAGGTAGTGCCTTTTCTTCAAAACAACGATTCACTTTTGAAGTCTCTTTCCAGAGTTCGGTAATGGAAAAGATAAGCTTAAGAAGACGAATATGTGGAGGGAGGAGTAATTAATAAACTCATGTCATCTTTTTCTTTTTTTAATTGAAATCTCCCATTGCCTTGAAAAACAGGACTGGCTTTGATTCCTCCAAGAAGCTAAGCCCACCCACTTTGGATCAGACTAAAACATCAAACCCATGTCTGGTGCATATTCTGCAGTTATTATGTACAGTACCTGATTGTATTTCTGCAGTATATGAATTTATGGATATCTGTGAGCATGTGTGTGTGTGTGTGTGTGTGTGTGTGTGTGTGTGTGTGTGTGCGCTGACACAATACATTATTCAATTCCTATTAGGCAAAATGTGTTCACTTGTACTAACTAAACTTGAGGGCCTTTGGATGGGATCAAGATTTCTTTTCTCTTAACTTGCATCAAGTTTTTTTTTTAAAAACGTGTAGAATATTTGTTGAAATTGTAAATACCTAAATTGATTGTACAGGGACAAGCAGCTTATAAGGCAGCCGAAGAGGCAATGTTGTGCATGATATGGTTTAACTTGTTGATAGGAACTGTATTGAATATAGAGTACTTGTAGAGAATATATAAATATTCTTTTTTTTTCTTGCTGTGCACAGTGTACATTGTACTGTAACTAACTGGACAGAAAACTGCATATAAATTTGAATTCTGATTGTTTCCAGATTTGCTTGTCAGCGAGTAAAATAACTGGTATTGTACAACAACATGCAGGATATCGCGACAATATAATTTTTAATTTTAATATTATTCGCATTTGTATTGGTTCTACGCAATCCCAATATACTGCCAAAACAATGCATTTTTCTGACAGTATTTCAAATGGTTTTGTATTTAAGAACAGATTTGTACTAACATATACTTTCCTTGTCTCTATTTAAGTTTCTCCTTTTAGTGCAAGTATGAAATTCAAGCTACTGGAAATATAATGAATGAATAAAAAATTATCTGCTTTAATTTCCATTTTCAGACTCTTCACTCAAAACATCATTGCCCCCTCTCGAAATGAGTGATGCTCTGAATAGCGTTAGATTCAATGAGTCATATAAACCCTGTTATTCAGTCTGTGCATTCTAGGTGCTACATAATGCTGCCAAAAATGGTTCATTACATAACAAAAATGATACTGCACAATAAACATGTGCCAGTTTAGTATTCTACCCTCCAGCCAGTTCTACAACCACAGAAATGAGAAATGAATAAAAAAAATTGCACCATTACAGCAACAACAAATACTGTGTGCTGTATGTTGTTGTGTTCATGGGCATGGGGCCTGTATGTGTGTTGTGGTGGAAGAAGTAAGTCAAGTCATTTCAATTTTATTTGCAATATCACAAATCACAATTTTTTTTCAAGTGGCTTTTCATAGACTCAGATCCTTTAAGTATCCAAGCAACAATTTGAAAATTACTACTTAAGTAAATATACAGAAGTTACATGAAGAAGTTAAGTGCACTTGAAATGAAAATACCCATTCTTAAATATTTGCACCTGTGACTGACATATAATTAATATATTATATATACTTTTAATGCCTGAATACACAAGCAGCATTTTAATGTTGTAGCTGGTTGAGGTAAAGTTAAGTGTATTTCTTTATAAACAGTTACTTTGGTCCTGTGGTTCCCAACCTGGGGCTCACACCCCCTCCAAAGTGTCACAAGATAAAACTGAGAATATTATCTACTCTTTTTTAGTTTTACTTCTTTGGGTTGAAAATAATCATTGAAACAAACTCATTGAGAAGTTTAGAGGGGTAATCTCTTTGGTAAAACTAATAAGAACTCATAGACATCTAAAACGTGACAGGGAGCCCCACACAAACCAAAAAAGTAGAGCTACATGGATAGGAAGGAAATTATGCCAAACAAACATCAGATTTCAGCCATCAAAAACTTGATTGCAGGAGTAGGTACATACTCTGATTCTAGATACACATACAAATATACACTGAACAGTAACACCACCATGTACAGTGAGCAGAAGCTGAGGGCTGTGTAAGTATAGGTGCCTACACCTGCTTCGGTCTGCTTAGTGTGAAGCGGCTATGGAAGGGCCTTATGGAACACAACAGTTGGGCTCCATCTTTTTGGCGCTCACTTCCACTTCCATTACAGTCATATTGTCAGGGTAATAGCGAGAGAGCAGCCCACCATCTGGTGCATTATCACACTGCAATGGTGTCAGGAAGCACGGAAGTCTGGTATCTAGTGTCTTGGAAATACTTTCTCTCCCTCTGGCAAGGACTCTTTGCCTTCTGTTCATTCAGGTACACTAATTCCTTTTCCTCGGTAAAGTTGTTTGGGGATATTTCACAGGATTGTTTGCAGTTAATAACAGCAGTGATTGAAAGTGGATTGCTGCTTCGCATATTTATGAATTGGGGTTTATGATTTTTTTTTCTCCCAAAATTAAGCCAAAGTTTTTATGAAGGATGAATGCATCAGTGTGAACTGCAGCTGGTGGGAATTATGTCCATATTATTTCAAACAAAATAAATGACTCTCACTCTCAGCATCAATGATCTCAAAGACCTGGTGACCTTTAGCCACAAGATGATGATTCATCATATATATATATATATATATTTTTTTTTTTCCTCTTGACTTTACTGCCACCTAGTGATATGATGCAATTACACCGATGGCTGAAATAAGTAACAGGCTTTTAAACACTGAATAGAAAATGTCACGCAAGGCACATGAATTGAACTGTCAATAAAATTAGTTTACTGACATTTTTTACCAGTATGAAATTTCAAAGAGACAACAATAATAATATCTTATGTTGAGGCCACAGTTGGACCATGCTGTAAAATATTGTATCAAAATCACAATATTCTGAATTACGGTACCTTACATTTCATATGACAGTCTGTAAGCCAATGAATGTGTGCACTCTGTTGACATCCCTAGTCATCAATTACAAAGGCTCCCTGTAAGAGGCTTAGCTATTTTTTTCATGGCAGCAGAATCTCATTATTTGTCTGTCGATTAGTGATCATTGCTACCAAACAAGCAGCTGCCCCATTACCCTTCTGAACTCCACCCCCCCCCCCCCCCCCCCCCCCTTCCTGCCGCTCCACTCCAACCCCTCCCTTCGTCCACTTATTCATCATCCAATCCTCAGTGGATCCATTCTGTGTCGGCTGTTCGTCTGCCATAGCATCCATTAACCATTCCCACCTCCTCTGTGTCCAGCTCCTTGATTTACTGCTGAGCGGAAAGCCTGGTTTGAATTGATCTATAGCTGGTTTAGCTCCAGTCTGCTTTCAGTGGGAAAAGATCAGTACATTGTCTCATAGTCCTGTTTCCAAACAACCTGCGAGCTTTAAAGTGCATCATTTGCAGACTGAAGTGAAGGATGTGATCTTTCACCATCTACAAGCTTCCCAAAAAGACATTATACAGAATAAAGGATATCAAAGGCAGGTATTTGAAAAACACAATCATTTTGTTTCTGATATTTTTATATTTTTATTAGTGTGCGCGGAGCTTCAGGGCATCTGTTCCTTTGTATCAGTATGTAAATGTGCCCTTTTCTGATGCTTTGAGAGCTGAGGAGGATAATTGTTTATGATTACTGTGTGACATTTCCATATGGCTGATGAACTGCTTGCCAACACACACACTCACTGATACACACACACACACACACACACACAAAATCACACACATACCTGTCAAGACCAAGCTGTTTGGAACCTGAATGGTAGGTTTGGATTGCCTGAAATTGAAAACCCCAACTGTTGGAGGGAAATCACCCCTTCCAGTGTAACAGCGTAATTTCTTCATCAGTGTTTCTATCAACCCAAGTAGGCTGTTTCCCCTGGAGGGGGGCTGATATGATGGCAGATATCATTACACTCCAGTTGGATGGATGCTACATAAAGTGAGACTGCTTTGTTCCATTGATCTGATGCTCTCTATCAAACCTCACCCCCCTATTTTTTTTATCATGATAGCACCAGAATTATATTTCCACACCCTGATTCCTATTCCCCATACACCCCTCTCCATGTCCCATGTGTATTTTGGTGGGTGGGTGGTGGTGGTGGTGGTGGTGGGGGGTGGGGGGGGTATTACTCATGTTTCATTGGGGCTAAATCATGTTTACCCTTACCCCTCCTTCCTCTTCCTCCTCTACATCCCTCCCTCCCTCCTCTGCCAGGCAGATAGATGACAGCCACCAATTCTTTCCTCCAGACAGCAGGGTGTTTGCTGTTCCTCTTATCCACCCCAGAGACCAGCCTTGTAACACTGTTATTCACCGGCAGGCTCTGTCTCTATTTGCACTGCCATGTTGTAAGAGGAACAAAAGTGTTTGTCTGGGGGTTGAATACACCTAGATCTTGGATAACCAGCGGACAAAATAATATCCTTTTGGGCCCTGTATTATGCTGCGCTATTTGAATGTCATGAATTTCCTCTGTGTTACTGACTTCCTTTGGCTTGGCTATTTTCTGTGGAGCGACATATTTTTTTAATAAATCCCTGAATCTGAAAATAATGTCTTTTTTGTGTATTAACAGCAAGGAAACAACGTTTTTTTGATGAAAAGTCTGAATATTAACAACAGCCTTAGGGAACAAAGCAGCAAAACTCAACTTGATATAGAGCTACAACCTTCATGTGAAGTCAGTTTCTGATCACATTAAAGGGAATTTCTTTGATATGTTCACCCAAATTCATCTAAGGGGGCTAAGTCCTTCAATTAATTCTATGCTGCTCTGTCTCAAAGATCCCTGCATTATTTATGGGCCGCCGCCACAGCAGATTATTATTTGCTGTGTGGTGTTTACATCCAAGATTTAAATCTAATCCCAGGGGACTGAGATGGTCTCATGTTTGGACTGACACAAGGGCAAGGCCTTGTAATTAGTAGAGGTGCCCTTTTGATATGTGCCTGATGAAAAACAGGCTGTCAGTTAACATGCAGACAGCAGTCACGCTCATTTCTCATCTACCCCTGGTGGTGTCTAGTCATGCAAATAGATTTATCTGCTCGTGTTTTGACATTTCTGGCTCTGAAACTTTTGCTGCTGCCCCAAACAATGGAAGGAAATTAAGTTTGTGGTGCTCGAAGCACCGGAAAATACAGTTTAATTAATTCTGATAACAACCAAACTTACGTAACGTAAGATCTTTTGGCCCCAATTAGCATTTACTTTTATGACTGTACATTACTTTGCGGTTGACTCATCAACTCCCTTATCAGGCATTTACAGCAACACAGCTGTGATAAACTCACTGTAACTCCCTGCTCAGCACCAAATGCCAACAAAGTTAGCAAAAGAATAGTAAACAAATTCGAGCCTTAATCAAAATATGCAGAGGCTATATATTTCAGAAGTTGGTGGAGACTACACTGAAGAGTTCAAAGGAGAGTGAATATTGGACTTTGTCAGGTGGCCAGAAGGACGACTTCAAATGAACACTAACATTAACATCACTGGTCTGCTGGATTTTACAGTAACTTAGGAAAGAACGACTATTTGTTAATATATGTTGAGGCTTTGTAGCTTGTTTTATACTTTTTTAGGGCAGACAAATGGATTCAGATTTTAATTTAGTTAGTCATTTCTACTAAAATTAGCCTACTACTATAAATGAATAATGTTGATAGCTAACGTTAATGTTAATGCTAGCTAGCCACCTTACTTACCAATAGCCAATAGCCTAACATTACCTGAGCTAAAAATAATTTGACCTAGTTAGCTAACAGTGCTATCAACTTTCAGCAACGTTAAGCTAATGCTAATTTAATTATTTGAAGTAGTTGAGTAGCTATAGTGGGAGTCAGTGCATGCAGACTTTAATATAACATTGCCTGATGACTTTCCACTTTCCACTAAGTAAATGCCTTATTTTTCATAAATCTGCCTCAAAATGTTCATATTATTTAACAAATTAGTATAAAATAATTAAATTTAATCTTTAACAGTCTGAAGTTAC